ATCATCGGTGAGTCACCTACCCGTGTGTGTGACTCCTCGCCGCTGCTCTAAATATAAATGTGAAAGGTTGGTGAGCTGTAGCAATAAATCAGACTGCATTAGCGTGTGTTATCAGACAGGTCTTCCTCTTCTGCCTGTCCTTCTCTCTCCGTTATTAAGGCTGGTACGGTCAATGGCAAACAGCTGCAGGAACCCAAACCAAAGCCAGGAGTGCAGGTTATCTTTTCATATGCAGATCTGGCATACCCACACGTTAGATCTCTTCTTGCTGTTTCTGTCAAAATTATATCTAGGAAGAGAGAGGGAGAGAAAGGTTTGCTTTGACAGTGTTACTGAGGTAGAAACACTGAGAGACTGAGAAGCGTTTTCACACCCTTTTTTTTTTATCCATACATACAGTATGTGTGATTTTTAAATAAGCACCAGAGAGAAAGTAACTTTGCCAAGGCTACCAGCCACTGCTTTAGAGCCGTGGACATGTGTGTGCTGTGTGATTTACACTGATTCAGGTTAAAGCACTTTAATTAAACTCTCAAGTGAGGTGTTTCAATTATAAACACAAGTGGTCGTTGTTTTCTATTGAAAGATGGGAGAAATGACTGAGAAAAGTCTTTCATCTTACCGAGCATCCTGGTTTTCTTTTCTTTTTCTTTTTTTTTCCAGTAAAATTTATTATTTTTAAAGTCAATAAAATGGGGATGAAGGCAGCCAGAAGAAAAACATCAGGAGCCTGAAATTGCCTGTTTGCTTGCCAGAAGCACTCTGCTCTGGCAGCTGCAGTGGTGGGTTTATTTTACCTGTTGTGCTCCCTTTACAATATATGCAGAAGTAGTAATGAATTTAAGAATGAGCTCTGCCTGTGCAAAGTAAATGCATCTTGATAAAAAAAAAAAAGTTTTAAAAAATCTATAGAATGTAAATAGGAGGGGATAATGCTGCTTCACTTTACTGGTCCTCTACAGAGTGCCCTTATGGGGCTTACTTTCTATTAGATAATAGAGGATAGTTAAAAGATGTATGATAAGGTTGTTCTTTGTGCATTTCTGTAGGAAATGGACGTTATTATTATTTCTATGGAAATATTAAATTTTACTCTATCTGTATCTGTTTCAGTTTACTCATTGGCATCAGAGAGCTCTACAATAATGACTCAGGCTGCTATTTTCAGGTGCATCTGGACTGAAACCACCTCCTTCAGAGGCACTGCAATATTCAGGGCTGTTTCACTTTGCATCAGAGACACGGGGATGTCTCGCGCTGCTCTCAACGTGAGGAGCAGGCCCAGGCTTTGCCCCCTTATTTTAGGGGGCCAAATTTTTATACTTTCAGTATTTTATAAATAATGTATATTGGGGGGAGTTGGGAGTTCTTGATCCTTAGCCATTCTGTTTACTGTTGCTTTCCTCTTTGGTTCATTTGTTGCCCCTTTCTGTGTTGGGTTTTTGTACCCGGGGATGGCTGGCTGATCTCTCCCCGTGGTCCCTTGGTGCCTGAGGGCTTTCCTGGGTGGGACTCCCTGGCGGTGAACTTCCTGGTGGGGCAGATTTCCCCTCTCTTCCTTTATCAGCCCAAATTTCTGGCTCCCTCTTCTCAGTTATACTTCTTTTCCTTTTTTTTTCCCCGCTTCCATTCCTTTGCTGTAGAAGAGGTCTAATGGATTTTAGCTCTTAAAAAGCACATCGGTGCACAAACCTTCATCCATCCTCAGCAGAACCCATCACCTCTCTTTGATTTACGTTGTGCAGAGGGACAAGCAGAATGCATGGACTGTGGTCCAGGGAATCACAGAATGATATGGAGTTGGAAGGGACCTCTGGAGATCATCTAGTCCAACCCCCTGCCAAAGCAGGTCCACCCAGAGCAGATTGTAGAGGAACTTGTCCAGGCAGGTTTGGAATGTCTCCAAAGAAGGATACTCCACCACCTCCCTGGGCAGCCTCTTCCAGGGCTCTGCCACCCTCAAAGTGAATAAGTTCCTCCTCATGTTTAGGTGGAACTTCTTCTATTCAAGTTTGTGCCCATTTCCTCTTGTCCTGTCCCTGGGCACCACTGAAAAAACACCAGCCCCATCCTCTTGACACCCTCCCTTTAAGTATTTATAAGCATCGATCAGATCCCCCCCTCAGTCTTCTCTTCTCCAGACTAAAAAGACCCAAGTCCCTCAGCAAGAGAGATGCTCAAGGCCCCTAATCTTCTTTGTAGCCCTAATAATGATAATATCGCCTGTCCCTGCTGTAGGATTTTTGCAGGAGTGTGACCAAAGCTCTATGTTCAGCATGTGTAGCCTGAGCCCATTGGTGTGCCCATGGGTGCAAGAAACATCCTTGATATGGCCACCTCTGTGCTAGCAACCTGTAAGAGATCTGCCTCATGTCTTCAGACTGTAGCCCCAAACTCTTTTCTCATAGTTTCTCATAGTAACCCCCAGCCTGAGCACAGCATCCTGTAGGTTCTCCAGAAAATTCCCCTGCCTCCCTTTTGGTGTAGAGAGCTGGCAACTTCCGACAGGGAAACATGGAGTTGTATTCAGTAGAGATAGTACTTAGTCCCTGAAGTCTGAAAATGTAGGAAGGTGGGAGACAACTGTGAGAAACAGAAATGCCAGAAAAATGTGGAGGATTTGGCAGCTCTGTCTTTAATGTCTACTGTGTTACCCTGCAGAACAGAATTGGAGACAAACATATGAATGCGCTAACGCTGAAGTTGTTGGATGCCTGTCTGCTACTGAATTGCTTTGGAGGATTTTTAATTTTTTGTGGTTTTAAGGTTAATTTTTTTTGTGTGTCATCATTCTGCTCTATTTAGTTTCTCTTCAGATAATAGCGATGAAAAGTTACAGCGCTCCAGAACAGCTCCAAAACTCTGTCTTTAAAAATGCTCATTTGATGTGAGCCTCCTTTGGCTAAAACTGTATCAGGTATCATTGAATGCTGTCAGCTTGCCATTGCTTTGTGCCACCAGCCCGGGAGCTGGGCTGTAGTCATCAACCTTTAGGAAAGTCCATCATAAAAACACTGGTAGGAGGCTGGTTAATACCAGTCTAATGCAGTTAAACAGATTATCTTAAGAGTACATACCTCTGCAACCCCTTTACAACTATATAACCTGGACCACCCAGTCCTTTTAACCGTTTTGATGCAAAGAGGTGAAAAGTCAAAGTCCTTTGGGTACAAAAAAAAGATATCAAAAGTTGTCAGCAGGTGTCAAAACAGAGAAGTTATTTCAAAATCAGCCTGATCATTATTCATTATTGTGCTTACCTCTGATAGGAGATAATACTGCTGCATCCCTCCTTGTCTGAAACTGCTTCCAGATGCTCTGCAGCTCACGTCGTGCGTGCAGTCAGATTTTCTCATGTCTACCACCGCCGAATACACGGTGGGAATACCATTTACCGTCACTGCGAATAATGCTGAACTCATTACAAAGCTGTTAAAATTGACCTAAAATTTATCTGGTTCTAATTAGACCTCAATAGACTGACTGAACTGACAAAAAATAGGTTCAGTAATAAGAAGCAAAACGATATATTGCTTGGTGTAGATATAACAGAGTGTCTTGTCTGGGAAGAAGGGAAGTCAGAGCACAGACCTGAGCTGCTAAGTCATTCGGGACTGGTCTTTTTTTCTTGGATTGGTCTTTATTCTTGGATTTGATCCAGAACTGAACTGCTTCCTGTCTGCCTGCCTTCCCACAAAGTCTCTCTAGCTACTGCCCTTAAATCCTGACCTCCTCCTGTGCCAGCCCTGGAGGCTTGTGGCCTGGCTGGCGTGGCTATAGGTGTGTGTACATCGCTCCATACCCTGCTCTGTGCATTGCTATCTGAGCACTGTAAGCCCAGACTCTTTTCTGGGATTGAAGGGGCAGAAGAATGCAGAGCATTCTCACACCCAGAGTCTACTCCTGTCCCTCAACCCATAAATCTTGTCTCGACAGTTAGGCGATTCGGTACGAGCAAGTTTGAGGTGGTTCGTCGCTACCCAAACTGGTTAACAAATCTTGACTGGCCTCCAGCCAAGCTGAACTGCAATCGTACCGTCAAATGTGGTCATTCTGCCCCTTCCCTGACTAGTCAAGACCATCAAAGTGAAAATGAATGCTTTTTTTTTCTTTATTGTGAGATGTATAAAGGCCTAGGCTTTGTGATTTGTGATAGGCTTTGTGATTTGTGATAGGCTGGGTGAGAAGGTGCTGGCTCTGTGGTCATCTTGGTGTTCCTGGGGCCAGTGCTGATGCTAAAACTCACTCGGGGACCCACAGGTCCTCCCTTCTCAGTTTAGAGCACCAGTCAGATGTTCATGCAGTTGCCCGTGGTTGGTAACACGGAGCTATAAACACGTCAGTAGGAACAGAGGAGCTTCTAAGTGGGCAGAAGATAGTGTGCTGCTGCATGCATACTGATACGCCTCTGTCCCTTTGGACTTCACTTTTACTTGGCTTTCAGACTCATATAAAACTCATTTATCTCCAGCGAAGGCTGCATGTGCTTTCTCCAGACGTGCTGCTGCAGCAGCTTTTCTTAGTTAGTTTTTGCGGATCTCACAAAAGGAAGACCCTTGTCCATGGAGGAGCTCGTGATCCATGTACCTGTTGCCTTGAGCAGGTGCATACATGAGCTGTGCTTGCTCTCCTGGGCTGCACGTATTGCTTGGCCTTCAGAACCAAGCTTTTGTGGATCTTACAAAAGGAAGACCCTTGTCCATGGAGGAGCTCGTGATCCATGTACCTGTTGCCTTGAGCAGGTGCAGACATGAGCTGTGCTTGCTCTCCTGGGCTGCACGTATTGCTTGGCCTTCAGAACCAAGCTGTTCTGCCCATATCCCTTGCCATGGGCTACCCTCAGCTGGCTAATTGTAACAGAAGAGCCTGGAGGTGGCACCTACTTGGCACCAGTAGTGACACCACGAGCGCATCCTTGATTTTATCTTGAGGTGAAGCAACAGGCTTTCATATAAACATCCCATTGAAAATCCTGTAAAAACTCTATATAAAAGACCACAATGTGGGTGAACCTCACCTCTGACAGTCTGGGCAGTGTACCGTGCCCTGGTCGCAGGTCTGTCTGATGCTGTGTCATCCCAGGGACCAGCATCAGAAGGAACATTAGATTTAAGGCCAGGCTGGATGGGCCTTTGAGCAACCTGGTCTAGTGAGCAACAAGAAGTCTGGGCAGTGTACCGTGCCCTGGTCGCAGGTCTGTCTGACTCTGTGTCATCTCAGGGACCAGCGTCAGAAGGAACATTAGATTTAAGGCCAGGCTGGATGGGCCTTTGAGCAACCTGGTCTAGTGGGAGGTGTCCCTGCCCATGGCAGGGGGGTTGGAACTAGATCATAGAATCATATGGGGGGTTGGAAGGGACCTCTGGAGATCATCTAATCCAACCTCCTGCCAAAGCAGGGCCACCCAGAGCAGGTTGCACAGGAAGTTTCCCTGGGCACCACTCAAAAAGACCAGCCCCGTCCTCCTGACACCCTCCCTTTAAGGTGATCTTTAAGGCCCCCCCTTAGATGATCTTTAAGGTCCCTTCCAACTCGAACATCTTTAAGGTCCCCCCTTGGATGATCTTTAAGGTCCCTTCCAACTCGAACCATTCTATGATCTTTTAGCTGTCTCCCACCTTTTCTGGGATATTAATGAAGTAGATACCTTTCTTGAGAGTGTTTGCCTTTCTTTTCTGGGTCCAAAAAGAACCAGCACCTTCTGGTGCAAAGCCACTGATATTTGTGAATATAATTATAGATTTTTTAGAGAAAAGTCTGTTCCTAAATATACGCCCATCCAGTGAGGCCACCATTAATGCTGTATGTCATTAAGCCTTAGTCAGTGTAATATTGTGCTGTGTGGGAAGGAATCCCAGGCTGAATCTATTTTTGCCCCGCACCGGTTGATTTACAATGAGTGATAGTAGCAGAGTTCAGGCCTTTGCCGATTATTGCTGAGCTGGACCGCTATCGGACAGTTTTAAAAATAAAACTTGCCATTCTAAGAGTATCATTGAAATTCCGTAACGGATCCCCCTGCGTGACCTTTCAGCAAATTCCCTGGCTTTCCTGAGCTCGTGCGGCAGGGCCATGCCACCCCTCCTCGTGGCTGCTTAGTGGGGGCTGTTGATCTCTCCTTGCTGGTTCTCTGCTTTTCTGGAGGCTCTTCGTGCTGTCTGGCAGCGCTCGAGATCTTTTTGAGGGTCTTCTTGGAGAAGACAATGGGAAACTAAAATTGCCAGGTAGCAGGGGAAAAGATAAATGAGCTCCAAAACGTGACAGGCTGGTTCAAGCGTCAGCCGTGTTGTGCTTGCAGAAGGGTGTTCTTTTCCTCACGCGAGTTCAGCCTTCAGAAACTGGGGGAGAACGGGACCCAAATTTGGCTGTCCTGTTTCAGAAGTTCCTCAGGGTTGGTTTTGCCAGGACCTGCAGGTTCACACACTAAGGATAACCTGAGCTGGGCTGCAGGAGCGTCTTCAAAAGAGTTTCCTTTCAAGGAAACGCACAAGCTTTTGGCAGTTATATCCAGATATATGACCCTGCTGTGTATCTCGTACCAATTTAATATTTGACAGGGTTTTTTTTTTTTTTTGGTTTTGTTTTGCAGGAAGAAATCATTCCTGTTTTCAGCTCTGTATGCTGCCTTTATATTTGGCGGTCGGCACCTAATGAACAAGCGAGCAAAATTTGAACTGAGGAAACCACTAGTGCTCTGGTCCCTGAGCCTTGCCGTCTTCAGGTAGGCATTTCTTCACACCAACTGCCTTTGACAGTAGTCCATGAAGAGGGTTTGGGGTTCTTCACATACAACAGCCTCACCCAGGAACAGCATTTCTTTGCTTCCTGATGTTGACGGTTATGTCCTGATCCACTCCCCACCATTGAAAATGGTCCCCCTTGACTTGCCAGATCATACAGCATTTGAAGAGGAGAGAAATCAATAACCCTCTTGAAGAACAGAGGGTGAAAATAAAGTGAGAACACGAGAAAAAGCACTTATCATTGCAATAAATTTAGCATGCAAGCTACAAATGGAAGTAAACACATTAAGATTTTAGCCTTGTTCTGGCTTACTAACTAGTGTTATGTTTGTATGGATGCATATATGGAATATTTTTGTCAAGACTGATCTCCATTACAATGAGGTAAACCTAAAGTCACTAAATTTAAGGCCACTGTAATTGATATCAGGATCTGGTTTCTGGTTATTCCATGGCAAAGAGCTGGTGAAGGTTGCAAAAGGGTGGCTCCACAGGAAAAGGCTATTTTTTAGTGGTGCACATCTCTCTAGCTGTGTGTTGACTCTGTGTCACTGAGTATGGGGAGAGTCAGGTTCAGATTCTTGATAGCTGCTGAAGTCAGAAGTAAAACTGACTAAACCTGAATTCCACTTTATCTGCTAATATGGCAGTTTTTAATGAGGCTGAAAATAAACAAATGAATGAACAAGTGCTTCTAAAAATAGCCCTTACAAACACACAAACTTTGGTTACAATTTACTATTAACCGTATTTAGAAGGCCTGAGGATTATCCTTCATTTCAGTGCCTGCTGGAAGTGTAAGTTACAGTTCACTCAACAGCATAGAAAACATTTGCAAACCATTATCAAACACTGGCAGCTGTATCTTTTTTCTAATATCAATATAATAATTACTGATTCTATTAGCTTACGAGTACACAAAACAAGTTTGCTTACAGAGCAGCTGTGAATGGTGTATGATTTTTCACAGGGTGGGAGTAGTTTGAGCTGAGAGTTTCTACAGAGTAAAACAAACAGGAATGGAGAAGTTTGCTTTCTTTTGTGCCTTTTCTCCTCCAAAATTGTTCTATCACATTGACAGTTTCTAAAACTCTGGCAGAAGAAAATAAATCTTATTTCTAAGTTGTTTCATCCAGCTAGGACACGCTAGCAGAAGAACTTCATGTTGGCTTGATTTTGATAGTTCATTGATGCTTTAAAAAAATATCCTAGTGCAGACAAGACTTTGAGCAGTGTGGATAACTTTGAGAGCAAGTTCTAACACTGTGGAAATCCATAATTCTCATCTGGTTGTGTTTGGCGCGGTACTTCTGGCCGTGTGTCTGACGCAGTTTTGCTCTTAGGGTCCTGTAAGCAGTTGGCATCCTTTGTTCTAGAAACGGCTGAATTTCAGCCGCTGTTGAATTGGTTCCTGGATGGTTCCTGGATGTCATTTGTGGATCAGTTTGTCAAGTGATTTGTAGCCAGAAGGATCCCAAAATGCATATTCCAATTACACTTTCTTATTGAGTGCAGCCCCTGGAAACTACCTGGCTTACATTTGTAGTTTAATTCCCAATCTGAGCGGGAGAAAGTGGGATTTCAGAACTGTCCTTTGCAGAAAGTATCTAGGATGAATTTTAAAATGACTTAGAGTCTGTGGCTGATATTCACAGTGTGGGACTTTGAAGCAATTTCACTAGTTAATTTCCTTCCAAAATCATAAGCCATGCACAGGTCAACAAATAGCAAGAATATATGCTAAGCTGTGAAAATGCTCTCCAGATGGACTTTGACATCAACAGGTTTGTTACTTGCTGATTGGAATTGCCCATCATAATCATGTGAAACAGCTAACGCATGGCCAGCATGAGCTGCTGGGTGGAATCTAAAATGTGGACTTCATGTTTTTGAAGCCTCAAGTGGCCAGGATGAACTTGCCACGGTGACCACCTCGTGCCGTGCCCCACCGTGCAGGCGCTTGAGGTGAACCTCTGCTTCTACCGAGGAAGCAGCAGCCAGAAGGGTGCAGTTGGAGAGGGGTTCATCGCTGTGGGGTTTGCCTCCTCCATCAGCTCAAAGAGGGACAAGTGTTCCCCAAGCACTGTAGAGCTCACCCTTTCCCCTGTTCATCAGGAAACGAGGTAGTGGGGTGGAGAAGAGGAGGGTGAGAAGTTTGGACAATGCATAAGCACATCAGCTGCTGGGTTTTCTAGTGAAGGCCAGTTGATTATGAAAATTGTATGGTTATGCTTAGAAAGCTTTGCTCTTCTGAGGCGCTGAGTAGTATGCAAAAGAGGGAAGAAGGGAAGGGGAAAAAAAGACCCAAAATATTTGCATTAAGAGAGAGCATGAAAGCTCTGTAGCTCCCATAGTAACACGCAAGCCCGTACAAAACCAACCCAAACACAAAACCACTTGACTTCTTGCCTGGAAAACAGAGGAAATGCAGAATATTCATTATAATTTAAGATGAAGACTTCTTACAAAAACTGCTAATTGGAACATCTATTTCCTGCTGTTTCACCACCACTGTCCCTTCTAGGGCCGTTGGTCACTCCCAGCCTTACTGACTCTCTTAGCAAACCTCACTAGACTTCCCAAGTAACTTGGATCCCTTTTTTCCTGGCTCCTTGCATAACTAGGTGATGCATTTACTTATGCTTGGCCTGAAAGAAATTTCTGCTTCCTCTGAAGGTCAGTTCAGATAGATTTAGATGCCAGTGTTCTGCCTGTAGACTTACTGTGGATCCAGGAAAAGTTTAGAACTTTAAACTTTTTTAACTTTAAAAAGGACTTCCTCTTTGGCTTGCTGGCATGCTAAAATGCTATGACTTTTACCATACCTTGTAGAAATCCCAAGTAACGTATTCATCTGCTGTGAGTGGTTGTACTGAGGAAGAAAAAAACCCTGCTTGAAGAGCCCTCAGCATTCTGCTTCAAGGTCACTGTGAAGCTTTTTTCCAGAGTCCTTGTTTATCTCCCTTCTAGCACGCCTACCATTTTACCTGCTTCAAATATCCTCAGAAATAGTAACACTTAGCAGAGGCTGGAAAGATGTGTTTTGGGCTTAAAAACAAACAAACAAACAAAAAAAAACATAAAGGAAATTGCCTGCCAGGCAATGACATGGTCCTTCTTCAGAATGTATCCCGTACGCCTCGCTCTTGCCAAGATCATTGAAATGTGGTAGCAGCTACAGTAGGAGACTTGCCACTCTTATAAATAAACAAAATGACTACACCACCCCATGGAGCTCGCTGAGCACTCAGGAGCTTGGTCAAGAATGAGGTTTGTGTCAACAGTGGCAGCCAGCAGGGTTTCTGAGGTAGAAAAGCAGCTTTATTTCCCTTTGGAAGCAGCGAACATTTTGTCTCTGGAATAAGGTTACCACATCTCAGTGAAATCTTGTGTTGGAGCAACGACAGTGAATCGTGCTTCTCACTTGGAAACCACTGTGAAAACATCATCTTCTGAAATCTTTTGACGAGAAATTAGTTTGGGATATTTTTCTTGTGTTGTTGGGTTGGTTTTGTTGTTTGTTTTTTTCCTCCCTAGCAGGTTTGTTGACTTGTTTCAAGCATTGAAGAGTTATTGTTGTCTGAAATGGTTTGGGTCTTTTGTTTTGTTTTGTGTTGTTTTGTTTTCTACACTTAGAATTAAGTGGTTTTGCCCAGCCTACTGAGGTCCTGGGGGAGCAGCTCTCTGCTGCTCTGTGTCAGTGGGAACCTGCTGTTCGGCATCTGACACAAAAGTTCATTTTTCAGTCTTGTAAGACCCCAAGGAAACTGTTGCTGAGTCACCTACACACCAACGTGACATCAGCCCTGTATTTCTGAATATTTCCTGGGGTTAAAAATCTGCAAAAACACATCAAACCTGAGTCGCCAGTTATATATTCATGCCACTTGGAACGTAAAGTTAGGGTCATTCATTGAACTTTTTACTTGGAGTATATCAAAAGTATCATGCCGGCATCTCTAGGAACCAGCAAAGCTGAGCCCAGGACTCTCACAGAAGGATACAAAGTCATTAATTCGTGTTTTCATTACATCTCAGCTTGGTTTCTGTAATTGCTTTTGTAGGCTGTGGAGTCTGTGTACGGGTAGCATCGCTATCAAGGAGCTTAAACATGTATTTGATCACCTCATCTTCACACAAGACAGCAGCATGGCACCATTTTCTCTTGCTCTCCATCCATAAGGGGCTGCCAACAGAACTCCCAGCATCAAAGCTTATAGAATAATAACAATAATAATAATAGCAGCAAAAGTTTGTCTTCCCTAGGGAAGACACGGGGAATACTGTCACACCAATACGGGGGATGAAGAAGCTAAAACATCCAACGTGATGCAGTCGTTTGTAGGCAGAGGGTAGACCTGACCACAGCTGGTGAGTGAGGGGAGGGATTTCTCTTTGTCTAGCCAGACCACGCAACCATAATGCAATTACCATGGCCTGGGGTCACTTAAATTCTAATCCAAATTCAGCTAAATTTTGTAGCGGTGGTGGAAATCAGTTGATATCAGTACAGGATTTCCCAATGTCTTTTATCCTGGGAAACAGTATGGGACTTAGCTGAAAGGTCTCTAGCTACTTGCCACAAGGCTAAATGGAGCCTCAAAAGCAAAGTATCCCAACAGGCCTTACATTTGAAAGACAAACCCGAAAAGGCTCACTGGAAGAAGGTGACTCACTTGGCTTTTATGAGACTGGCGTTAATTGATTTGTTAGTGCCAGCACAGCAGCATTTTATAGAAGGGTTTGCGCTTGTTCTGCAGAGGGCTCCTGACGAGGCAGGTGGGAATACATCTTTATGTGAGGAACTCAGTCCTGAGCTGAACTGAATGGAAAAGACTCAACACAAGTTTAAAGAGAGGATTTCAATTGCTTGGGTATGTGGCTGTGAGATATATTCTAGTTACCGTGCTTATAAGTAGGAAAATTGATCCAAAATGATTCAAATTTACGTCCCATCTCAAGACCTGCCATACACAGATACTTGCCATGGAGATAAAAACACAACTTAATTTCATATGTTGCTGAGCAACCCATCAAAATCTTAAAATACTCCGAGATTTTATAAAGGTCCTGAGAGTACATTGAAAGAGAAAATGAATTACTGAGAAGAGCAATATTTGCCAAATAACATTAAAATTGATGAGCAGCATTTAAGGTGAATTACTAGTTTTCTCTTTTATAAACTTAAAAGCAAGCGAATTCCATGTGGTACATTCCCTATATTTGTAATGCATATTCTCAGTAGGGCATTTCTTAGAATCCAAATCAGTGAAATGCTTAATCTATACCTACTTAGCAATTTATTTCTATAGGACCATGTTCATCTTTATGTACGTAGCTGATTTTCTTATATAACAGATATTGGAAACATCTTTTCAATTGCCATTATGGAGCAATAGTTGAAGGTTGGGTTAACAGTAGGAATTCAAAATGATTGGAGAGAAGACAAAAATCCCTTTGATGGGATTAGAAAAATTTCTTTCCTGTAACCTGAACTGTAATCCCAGTGGGGAAATACAGACGGTGCTGTGTAGGGTGAATTTATACACTGCAAAACAAATGCTAGCTGGCATTAAAAAGAGTGTAGAGGTGACAAAAATATATAGACTAAGAGCAAAAAAGTACCGTCGAGAAGATGTATCTTCAATATATGCCTTATATAAATAAGTAAGAGCACCCAATGACAAATATCTTTATTCCCAGAATTGTAGTTGATACCATGTGACAAAATGCTGTGTTTATCTTCTGACATGTCACCTCTTCCGGCACTTTACAGTTCTTGCTGCAGACTCTGTTGTGTCCATACAAAGAATGTAAACTCGTTTTATTGTTTTTACTTAATCAGGCCTAATTAAAAGTCAACCAGGGACTCAATGTGAGACCTGGCTGATGCTGCCTTACAGGAGGTGTGGGTAGGTTGGTAAGTTTCTATGAAGGTGGTAAGTTTCTATGAAAAAACTATTTTTCAGTGCTAAGGTGGGCCTCCCTTCTTTTAAAAACTTCATTTTTTTTTCCTCTGACTGTTTTTTGCTTGTCTTTTTTGCTGGAAAACCAAACGTCTTAGCAGAGTGAATTGAATGCAATATTTGAAAAGCAGCTATTGCGCTGGTTTTGCCCCTGTTCCCTCCCCACTCTGGGAGTCAGTGAGAGTGTTGACACGCAGTTTGTCCCCTTGAATGATACCTTTCTCCTGAGGTCACCCTGTCCCAGCCCCGGGGAGCCCTGCTCGGCATCAATGTCCTACTCAAAGCACAGCCCCCGGGAGCCAGGCTTTTCCTCTCCTTTCTGAATGGGAAACAGACTGAAAAGTGTATTTGGGGAATAAAGAACATCTGTCTGCTGGCTTAAGAAGGGAACTGTAGCAGAGAAAAAGAAGATAATTCATTCAAAAGAAATCAAACCCTCCCATCTGTCCCCCTGTGGCAGCACTTCTGCATTTTACTCCGTTCACGCGCCCAGCAAAGGGTCCTCCCCCCATTTGCAGAAAATCCTCCAGGGAACAGAAATTTCTGTGTTTTCTTCCCAGTTAAGTCCCCAACAGCTTGTGCTTGTGGCAGGAACACACTCGAGAGGTGTTAACTTGTGTGACCCGTGGAACCCCAGGGTGCCCGCGTGCAGGAGCGTGTCCACACGGGGGGCAGTGAGACGGGGTGCAGGGAAGTCCCAGGGGGGTGGGATGAGGTATGGGGGGCCACTGCGACTCTTCCTAAACAAAGGGGCACCTACGCCCTTCAGCACCTTCCCCCAGCTTGCTGAATACAGGAAAAAATAAGATTTTATTGTTTACCAACTGTGGGCGCATCCCTGAGATGTGAAGCTCTGCCCCGGGGAGGCCGGGGTGAAGAAGGGAGATGGGTGCAGGCCTGTGATTGCCATTCAATTTATGGATCTGAGCAGCTCATTACAGCTGTATTATAACTTTTATCTTCTTTAAGCCCTCTTTATTCTGTCAAATGCTAGTCTTTTCCTGGAACTTAGAATTTGCTTACTTTGTTATCTGCCTGTTTTACAGCTTTAGTGATGTCTAGTTCCATCAGCCAGCTTGATTCTCTGCTAAATCTTTTACTTTATTACTTTTTGGCTTTATTTGCTTAGGATAATTTCAAGCTCCTGATACATACATTTCAATGCTATACGTGACAGTTACTCCATGAACTTGATACATTTGATCCTGTAAGTATCATTAACTTATCCTGCAGAAATAGATACGGCATTTTTGGGGGATTATCATTTAAATCACTGCAAAATTACAGTTATTCTAAAATTTTCTTGAGATAATGTTGGATGCTGAGAATAATTTCATTAATGACACAGGAACAGGTGCAAATGCCCCTGAAGCAGTCATTAAGGATTGCTTAAGAGTTACACTGTGCTTATGAATCCTCATGGGTTACTTTAGGAATCCTTAGATGGATTCCTTAATTCTTACGAGATTTTGCACCAAACACAGGGCTTAAGTTGAAAATTGTTGGTTTGGTTTGTTTTTTTTTCTTTTTAGTAATTTAGCTCAGTCCAAACTTGCTGGGGTAAAGATCTAAAAACTAGTAAGTGTTTCTTGACAGAAAAAATATCTCACTGAGTAGACAGTCTTCACAGGGTGCCAGGGATCTTCAGCTGCAGCGGAAAGTCCAATTACTCTTTAGTGATGGAAGAGTGAGTTATTGCTCAAGAAATAACAGCTTTCATCAATAAATATTGTTCCTGAAAGTTCCTACCCTCCATGTGCCAGATAATCAGGGAGCAGCGTCAGGTAAGAGCACACTGAGGAGGACAAGCCCGGATGATAGGTAATTACTATTGATTAGCTTGTGACTGACTCTTTGGAAGCCAGGTGAGATGCAGGGATGCGTGGGTAGAGCTGAAAAACTATTTTTCATTTGTTGAAAAAAAACCAACAAACCCAGTTAAATGTTTTTCAGCAGTGCAGGGCTACAGGGGTGTCCCCGTGGGCAACTTAATGCTGTTCTCTCGTGTTCCACGGGTGATGATTGAGAGCAGCTGCCCTTCAGCCTGACCATTGCTCCTTGTTTGTCTCCACCAGAACCCAGCAGCCTCGTACGGCCGCTGAGTGCTCTGTGTGAGTGTAACCCTTCTCACCTCCACCAGTTACCAGCTCCTCTGCTGCAGAGACCCCTTGCAGAGATCCGGCGTTGATTGTTCTGCTCCTCTTCCCCGGGTGGTGCCGGTCCTTCCACGGAGCTGCGTTTTATTGATTATTTTTGTCCCCTGCTCCCCGGGATTGTCTGAATATGGCTAATCGCAGTCATCAGGAGGGCAGCTCCGGGGGATCACACTGCATTTCCTGGAGAGGGAATTCAGGCTCTCGTGAGGAGGGATGGGAGGACGGTGGCTGTGGTAGATTGATTTTTACCCACACGTATAAATAAGCCTTCCAAGGAGTAGTTGCAGCAATTGGCAGAAGTGTAGGGAGAATCAGGTGGGTTTTATTCTGCTGCGGTGTTAATGTGATTAGAATCTTCAGATGGCAGCGTCCATTGATCCGGAGCCCTGCGGAGATGTCACTGCTCAGGTAGGCTTAATGAGGTCCCTGGGGAGGGAAGGAAATAAGGTAAGCCTGGTTTTCTTTCCCCTTTTGTCAATACAAAGGACAAACCAAATGGTTTTGGGGGCCAGGTGAGTTGTGACTAGGAAATCTGCCCAGGAGAGGGAAGGGCTGAAGGGAGTGGCCCCACAATCGAGGGATTTATTGCCAGGGAGGAAAAAAAAGCCTGATGCAAGGAGCACAGTATCTGCCCTCACTTGAAAACCACAGAGCAAGCTGTCACTTTAACATACCTCATTTCCCTCCCCAAAATTTATCACATGGGAAAGTAATAACCACCCAGGCATGTATGCATATGCTTATGGGTGTATAAACCCAGACAAATGATATATTATTTCTTAGAGCCATGTATAATATTTGCACAATTTTTAAATCACTCTGAGCTGGCCTGGGTTCAGGTTTCTGGTCCCAACTGAAAACTCAAATGATTTGCATTGAAAAGTTTGCTGGAGAGACATCTGGATCAGATACGGTAGGAAGGTCTGAAAAGCAGGGCTTGTGTGTTTGGTTCAGTGGTAGGAGGGTTTTTTAGAGATGGAAGGGGAATTCTCTCAAATTTTGCTTTGGGATTTTGATAGGACTGAACCCAAACCTCCCAAATATGCATGAACTTAGGCAAAGAAAAGTCTTCTGCCAAAAAGAAAAATAAAAGCTGCAAAGATCAGCACAACTTTTGCTCACACACATGGTACTGAGACCTAGATCACCCCATTATAAAACACTTGCAGTACTGCTGGTTTTGCAGGTTTTAGCATAAGGAGCCACACTGAGAAGAACATATGTTATTCCTTATCTACCCCTTTTCTTGCCTTTTTCTTTACAATACTGTGGCTTGGACTCCACCCTGAATGGAACTCCATCACCTTCAAGGGGGGCAAGGGAGGTCTCTGTGGGTCTCCCTCAGGAGATGGGCAGGGGGAGAGGCTGAGGAGCAGCTGGGCAGCAAGATGTTAGAAGGAAGGTTTTGCTGTCAGGGCTTGTTAAATTCTTGGTGTTCTCCTGCCCTTGCAGAGATTGGTAACTTATTCAATAAGTAAGTTTTGGAGGCCTCTAATTCTATTATGCAGAGCAGTAGATTAGATAGAGAGAATATGTTACAAGCATATATAACGGGAATGGTACTTAATACAGCATGAGTAAGGCTCCTGCCCCATTCCCAACTGTATCCTAACTGTATTTCCAAGCTTTGAATCACTCCTGGAATTTTCCATCTCCCTCTAAAGTAACTATATTTGAAACATCCAGCAGACAGATGCAAACCGAGGTCTTAAATGACTGTAGATACTTTACAGACTTTCAGGCACACGAGCTGAAGAGGAGGAGTTCTGTGTTCTTTTTAAAGAATGAGACTAAGTGCCCTTAAAATACTGTTTTGTTAAGTTTTGAAAACATTCTTTGAAAGGTGTTCAGTTGCCATAGGAAAAAGGTACATCATGGGATCAAGGTGCTTCTTCTGTAGTTTTATTCTTGTTCCTACTGATTGTGAGAGAATAAATAACGGTCCCAAATAATTTTATCAATACGCTAGGCCTTGGAGGACACGGGCACACGGGGTAGTTACGGCGCTTTCGATTACTTGCTGGATTGTGATAACTGAGTACGTGGTTGTCTAAAGGCAGTTACAAAGGGGGAAAATAGGGCACCACTAGCCTCCTTCTCTGCTACTTTTACACTAAAATTGCCATAGGCAGAATAAGCACATAAAGTTACCATAGTTCATCAGCTCGAGGAAAGATTGGGTACCATGTTTTCCTATCCGTGCCCTAAGTTAGTCTTGTTAAAGGAAGATATGAGAAAATGATAGCCAGTGTGTGATTGACTTTTTAAATTTTCTTTTCCCCAGTGAAACGCAAAGAATACAGAGCAGAAAGGAGTTCAGTTTAAGTGCACAGTGATGCCGTGATACATCCCAAACATACAAAACCCAAGCATTGCAGTCCTCTGCAGGACTGGCTTTGAAATAATGAGGTTTTTTTTCTTTTTACAGTGAGAGTTTAGGTTTCTGGTTTTGTCCATGGGTGACTCACCGGTTATGTCTTCAGGCTTTTTCTTCATAACCTTGGGTTGATAGAAGAAGCCTTTTAAAATGAACTTCCTACAGAATCAGTTGCTGCTGAATGGGATAAAAGACCTGCATTTTTGTAGTTTTATCAACTGAGGGCACTAGTAGAGGAAAACAGGAGCTTTTCTAAGAATATTGGCATTGAATTTTCCACCTCACTACTGTGTTTTTTTGCACTTGCCCACGTCACAAGGAGTTAGGCGTTTAAAGCCACCCCTCACCATGGATTCTGATCTGTACCTAATTTTCTTCTGGACTTCACTGGTGCCAGTAAAGGGATCAGCAGGGAGTGTTAGTACAGTCCAGCCAGGATAGTTAGAAGAACTGCAAAAACTCCACAAGGGAGGAGAACCCAAATATTTTCTCCTATGGCAGGGTGGGCTGCTGGGGTCTGGTTCTACACAAATGGAGGGAGTGGGACAGTGGGAGGGAGACAGAAGCAGGGATGCTCTTAAAACTCACGCCGTAAGTTCGTGTTCTCTGTGGCTTGTGTCCATCTGTGTCAGGTCAAACCCACACTGGTATTTGCCTAACACATCAAGGAAAAACAGAGGGAAAGCAGGAGCCTGACTGAGTCTGTGGAAAGGCACGTATTGCTCTTACCTGGTCTTCTGGGTAGGTCAGGAAATTTTCAGCTGTTTGTGTTTCTAGGACAGCAGAACTTGGTAAACTTGCACTGTTTGTCTCTGCGCATCACTCTCTATTTTTAGGTCTTGAAAGCACGCTGCCAAAATATCAGATGTGCAGACAATGAAAATGGGATGTTAAGAGGTGCAGCAACAGCCTTCATGTCTATTAACTTTGTCTTTAAAGATATAGGTGTACCTTGGGTAATTAAGACGGAGGGTTTGGGACTTGAAGGTTTAGAGAGTAACTTTAAAAAGTGGAAGGAAAATCTATAGTAGGTCAAAGGACTCTCTGGGGAAAATTCCTCCTACTGGCAGGGGTTTACTGTTCATTCAATAATACTGTTTTCACTGATACAGGGTGAGGTCAGACCTGTTTCTGCTTACATCAAACAGAACTTGTGGGTAGGGTGTTGAACCACAGCCTGTGGTGTTGTACATCATTTCCCATCCTGGCTCAGACACAGGTTTTTTGACAGGTCACTTAAATTTCAGTTTGCCTGACCTCTCTGTCTTGGAAATGGGGCTTATGCTTAGATACTTTACAAGGCTGTCACAAGAGTAACGGCCATTAAGGACTGTGAAATATTCACCAATACAACGCTAAGGGCCGTGGAGATGCCAACAGGGCAGAAGTCTGAAGGAAGGTAGGTTTGAACCTGAAGGGACCCCAACTTACAAGCAGCTTTGTGCTTAGCAGTTCTTCACACAGGGATGTATCACCTAAAACAGTTGCTGTCCTGAATGTTGTTAAGGCATTGGTAATTCTGGGACAGCCCAGGCTGGAGGTGGTCGGTCGCTTGGCTGTTGGAAAGCAGACAAGACCAAAATTTGGTATGGCAATGGGAAGGTCTGCTCTGTGGAGAGAATGGAGATGTCCCAAAGGGATTCGACGAGGAGACAGGGTCTGCTGGGGAGGTACCTAGATCAGTTCTGGGAGGTAAAAAACAGGGAAATGATTTACAAGTGTTCTATAAGAACATTCTTTCTGAAGGATGGGGTCTTCCTCTCTCCATCACTAACCTTGGAATTGCTTGAAAACACTTCAGAAATGTTGAAGGATGGTGAAACAACAGCATATTCTTATAAAAATAACAGGCTAAGTTCATCAGCTGTGATTTGAACAGGTGACTCTCTCTAGGATTTCAAGGTAACTTGCTATTAAGAAGTCCTCTCTTATAAATGCTTGTAAAATGGCTTATAAATATTACATTTAAAGTTAAGAGAGAGCAAATATGGAGTCAGTACTATTCTTTTTCAAACTTTTTGATCACTTAGATGAATACCATGTTGCTGTGTATCCTTCACTGACCAAGAGACCATTTAATTTCGAAAATGTAACCCTCAGTTCTACAAACCTAGCAAAATATTTTTAATAAGGAGGTGCAGACTTATAAAGCTGGTTCTTCTAGTCAGTTCTTAATATATATGAATATTTCATATAGGCTGTGCTTGTGTCACATTGGCCATTTAGCATGTTGGGTGCCAGATGCTTTTCTAAGCTGCTTTTCTGCAAAATTAGAGGACATGTCATGGTGCACTGACTTTTTCACAGCTCTCATTAACTCCTTGAGATGAAAATAAGAGCTATTCATTCCATGTAGGTCACTGAACAACAGCCAAATGACATCTTTCAGTCATTGCCCACGTTTCGTTTGTACTTCATGGTCGGTTTCTGAGTGTATGGTTTCTCACTGTACAGTAAAAATACGATTTTGCAGTCAAAGATAAGCCTAAAACAACCTTATAGTTTCTCCATCTGTTTAAATACAAGATCCAGGGTTTTACAATCAAGGCAAACTAAGACAGGAGTCACATCTGACAGAAGATTTGGGTAGTCTGACAACCTTTTAGTGAAACTATATATTAAAATTGTCATAGGCTTAATTAATTCCTCCTCTCTTTTGGAGAATTTATTCCATCTGGAAAATCTAACTTTTTTTTTTTTTTTTTTTTTTGTAATATTGCCCCATCAGATGTTGCACATTGCCCAGTGAAGGTAGTACCGCTCCTCCCTTCCCCCTGCACAGCTGGCCAGATGTGGATGGATGGGACTCCTGTGAGTCACCATGCAAGCAGGTCAGGGCAGAATTAAGATTTCTTTCTTCCTCCAGCCAGGCTCCAGGCTGGGAGCTGGAGCCCAACCCATGGGAGCTCCAACTGGTTGCCCGGCCGGCTCGCTGCTGGGCTGGCCCAGTCCACCCAGGGCTGGCCAACACCTCAGAGACTGGTCTGACCATCTGGGCGCCAGTGGTTTTGGCCAGCGTTGAACAGCCTGCCATCCTGAGTCAGAGGGCTCTGCTTGAAGTCCCCACCAGCCCTGAATTTTGCACAGCACAGCTGGGTTCTTCCGCCTGCAGGTGTGATGCACGCAGGCTGGCACCCTTCTGAAAGTGAGGATACTCCATTTTTGACATGTAGCTTGTAGGTAACGTATTTTACATTCATAGAATCATAGAACAGTTAGAATTGGAAGGGACCTTAAAGATCATCGGGTTCCAACCCCCCTGCCCTGGGCAGGGACAATAAAATATCAATTGGGCATTTGCTCATCTCCCAGAAAAGTCACTGCTCACTGGAGGAGAACGTAGGACATTTTGAGGCTGAATAGATGAGAAAGCTGCATTAGCCAGTGCAGTTTGTTTCTGATCAGTCTCTTTTCTAGTTGCAAAAGGCTGTAATTGTGCAGTAATTCAGTGCTACCTTATTTGTAAAATCCCTGCAGATGATTCCCACCAGACAGACTGCTTTGGTAAGCAGTTCATTTCAATACCTCACAAAAAGCCACAGCAGCGAGCTGGGCGAGGACAAAACGGAGCAGCAGTGATTTACTGAGCAAGCAGTGTCATCGCTCTGCCGTGCGTCGTGTCTTTGCGGGGTAGAAATTGGTTTGGTTGATCTTACCTCTTAAAGAACAAACAAGATGAAGTGGCAGCGGCGCAAAAAAAGCCGTCCTGGCTCTCTGGATCCAGAGCAGGTTTGCAGATGTGCGTTGGGTCTCTCTCTGTCTCCAGCCATGCGTATGCTTGTTGGCACAGGAGTGTTTTGGCAGCACATCTCATGAACAGCTACCTGCTCCCCACGCTGAGTTTAGGTCATTGCATCAGTTACTTCCAGTTCGCCATCCTCCTTATTTATAAAGCTTTCTGTTGGGAATTATGAGAAAATGTAACTTGTATTTTTTACTGGTAAAAAAATGCAGATGATTCTGAGGCACACCATGTAGAGCAGTAGCTGGAGTCACTTGTTCTAGAGTCGAGAAACTAGAGGAAGCCACCGTGCTGAGAAATCACAGAAAACTAAGAGTGTGTGTGTGTGCATGTGTGCACTCCAAGGAGAGCTCTGCAGTAGTTGCTAAACAGAAATAAAGGAATAATTACATCATTATAATCTCAAGGACAGCAAAGTGAAACTCTGTAATCCCCACAGATTCTTTCCCTCTCTTATCAGTCCAGATTAAATCCCTGAGGGTCCGTACTCAATCACTTACAGTTAAGTCAACGCTCGTCTGCTGCACTCTTCTCATCTGAGTTTGTGTTCATGGCACAGAATTCTCTTTGGTTTTAAAACTTTAATAATAAATGATATTTTAGAAAAGCAATACAGCCTCTGCACAAGGAAAGACGTATTGCTTGCAGCTATTTGATTTCATAATTTAAAATTTCCTTTTTTTTTTTTTACCCCCATTTTAATGTCAGCACAGAGGTATTCGCTGATGGGAGAACCAGCATAACATTAGCTATTCTGCCCCATCTTCCTCCACCCTGTTTTCTCACCACCCAAAATGTAGGAGCAAGCAGCAGCCTGCCCTGGCTGGCTTGGGGAGCAGGCTGCCTCAGGAGGGGATTGGATCACATCGCTGTCAGGATGTCCTGTCGTCTTGGGAATGAGAAATGCAACTCCTGAGAAAAAAAAAAAGGGAAAAGGGCATGTGTTAAACACCAGAGAGAAGACACCAAACGAGTTGCACCTAAGGGGGAAAGGGCATGTGTTAAACGCCAGAGAGAAGACACCAAACGAGTTGCACCTTGTTTCAAAACTCCTCCAACAGGCTTTGGCACTCTCTGCTGAGCAGAGGACAGGCTTTGGCTCTCTCTGCCAAGGAGAGGACCAATCCCCGAAAGAGACAGGAGAAAAGCGTCAGAAGAGGACTCACCTGGCAGCAGAGCCGAGGAGCAAACACCACCATACATACATTTAGTGGATAGTAACAGGAGCTTCTCAAGGGCTCGCTGTTGTCCCAATTTCCTGATGGCATGGTCAAACCTCAGGCACCCAAATGGGATGGTGCGGGAGCCAGGATGTGACACCTCTCCCCGGGAGTGACATCAGTGCAAAGCCCCATCCGAGATGCCACGGCCAGAGCCCAAAGAGCACCAGGCAGGTCTCCACCCAGGGCTCCACTTGGTTACAGAGTGCATGCAGGAGGCAGGGGAGAGCAAGGTGCATTGCTCCTTAGCAGTAAGGGTATATCGATGCTGCCAGATTTGGAAATCTAACTACTTTGTGCAAAAAATATGAAAACTTAAGTCACCAGTTTTTATGCTCAGCAGGCTTACTTGAACCATCTAGGCTGACCGAGTAAGAACTGCCATAGACCTCAACTTTTGAGGCTGCCTCGACAATTATAAAATACATTTTTTAAATGTAAATACATACTTCACAAGACAAGAACTAGTAACTTCAGATTAACTGCTCCTCATTTCACACACTTTGCATAAATAGTAAGTAGCTTGCATTGCCCACGTGTCTACATACCAATTTTAGGTGGCTTGGTTTGCTTGCTGCAACGTGATAATCGTGAAAGGCAGAGCAGGAACCAGAGGATTCATGAGTAGGACAAGGTTGCAAAGAAGTTATGCAGGAGGAGGTAAGTTGTGAGGGGAGGTAAGATGGAGCTGGGTAGAGGCACAGGGACACATGATGTAGGCATGAAGTAAGACATACTCAAGCCCAAAGGAGACTGGGTCTTTCTTTGCTCCTCTTTTCTGAAAGCTGCTTGTTTCACCCAGTGTTCACCACAACTTTTGAAGGGTTGTGGAACAAGCTACAATAGTAGACAACGGGCAAGCATGTTCTTGCCATAAAACAGTGAAGCAATTCCTTCTGCAGAGCTCCTCAATGTTGAGACAAAAGCCTTTGTTCCTTACATCAGCTTTTGTTATCTGAACCTACCCCCTCTGTAATTGCATTAATTAATACCATTGCAAATCTCTTGATGTTTCTCATTTGCAGAGCACCTCGCACCTCACTTTGATGAGGTGGGGGTGAATCTGCTGTTTACGACTCGACTCAACTAGTCAGTTCCTCTGGTAGCAGTGGCCTGTTAGAAGATGGAGTTGGCATGTGCAACACACCACCAGCCCCGACTGAGACCCCCCCCCCTCAAAATCTGTGTGTCCTACCTGGGTTTGTCTGTGCTCAGAGCTCCTGCGTGGGTAAAACACACAGGGAGAGCCAGGAGAAAACTCTGAGGAAATGATGAGAGGGAATTGGTCCTGGTGATGCTGATGACAGGTCTTTATCAAGTCATTTCTTGTAGTCTCCCAGCTGTGATAATCAAAACTCTGCGTGTTGTTTTCAGCTGAAGTAGGTGGCTTCCACCGCTCCTGAAACCTGAGGGATTGTTCCTGTAGTAATGAAATAAAAAACATTGGTGTTAGAGTGTTAGAGTTCCAGACTTTAAACAGGAGATACAGCTGCAGTCCAGCTTACGAATACGAGTTTAGACTAAGTTCCTACAAGCCAGCAGAGTTGCTCCAGCTTTAAGACAGTCTCTAACTTAGTATTTCAGCACATCTATGGCTGCCTTCTCAGAATGATTTGAAGCGATGGCGCATGGATTTCAAGTGTCCACTCAACTTTCTTCATTTTTCTCTTTTTTGTTTTAAAGTATATTTGGTGCTGTTCGAACTGGTGCTTACATGCTGTACATTTTGATGACCAAAGGCCTGAAGCAGTCAGTGTGTGACCAGAGTTTTTACATTGGACCTGTCAGCAAATTCTGGGCATACGCTTTTGTGCTAAGCAAAGCACCCGAACTAGGTGAGTACCCTCCCTCCCTTCCTCTCCCTGTGCGTATTTACAAGCAGAAATGCCTGTGCAGGAAGCATGAGAAGGGGTCTCAGTGCTGGGGAGACCTCGTTTTAGTCGTAGAAAAGTGATTTAAGTCTAAGTTAGAGCAATGTGGAGCTGAATAAGACCGTTCCCAGCTCAGGAATGAACTACAGTGGTTAAACACGGGCAGGGCAGGTAAGAGCAGTCTGGTTCCTTCCCTCTTCCTTAGCTCCTGGTAGGCAAACAGGAGTAGTGAGTGTCACTCGCCCTGTGGGGACAGAAGTGCAGGGTGGGCTAGAGCAGCTGCGTCAGCAAGAAGCTTTGAGTCAGGTTCTGCCTCAATTCTGCAGCATTCGTCCTTAAATGCACACGTAGGCGTACAATTATGAATAGTAATGTGCTTCCTCTGTAAACATTGAAAGCTGTGGCTGGCTGCTTCCTCCAAATAGAAACCAGTTTCCCATAATATCCGTAGCTTTTCCAGCCCTGATTCTTATAAACTCCTGTCTCTCCAGCAATTTTTTTGGGGTAATGATACTTATGATACGCATGCCAAAGCCAAGTTAATAGCCAGCCTGCATGTGTTCTCATCCCGTGGCTTATTAGTTTAATGGGAAGGAGGAGGCAGTGATTTAGCAGCCCTCCAGCTTTCATTTCAGAAGATGCCCTCACTAAACCTCCAAGGGCTGCAGCACTCCCTGCCTTCAGATGTGCAGCAAAAATAAGCCTTTACTTTTCAGCAAAGAATGTGACTCAGCAAATTACAGGACAGCAATTCATCAGCATAAAAACTGTAAAGAGACAGACACTGGTTGCCTTGCTGTGTCAGAACCCCTTGGTTTCCCGCTGCTTAAATTGCTGCAAAACCATAGAAATTTAGTTGTTAAAACTGGAAAACGTCAGCTAGAGCTGCACAGCCACAACAAATCGAACGTATGATTACTTATTAAAATGTGAGTGCACATCTTGCTGCTAATGAAGTAAACAGCAGCATTATGGCTTATTACAGACCTTGTGCAGACAGTGCAGTTTTGGTTCCACCCATCACTAATATTAATTATTTGGATTTCCTGGGATACACGTAGCTACAAGTAAGTCCCCAGGTGCAGATCTCTGGGATCTTTTCAGAAACACCGTGTTTATAACAATGGAAAGCAAATAGCATATGTATATATCTCTCTCTAATGAAGATGCTCAGTGCAATCATGAGAAGCTGAAGGAAGAAAAAAAACAGGAAAGAGGAATAAAATTTGCTTTTCTACATTAGTAACATGAATTTGCAGAAAAGGATGTGTGTTTCAATATAAACCAAATTTCTTTCTAGAAGCATTTTTTTCTGGCAATTGCCTACCTTTCAGTGTTGTAGGTTGTGTACGCAATAGCTTTTTGCATAGTAGCTCTAAAGGCTCTGCTGAGTTTAACTAGATCCAGTTTGCAGGAAGGCATTTGAATCGGAGGAGATGGTGCTACCTCCTCTGCAGGTTTTCTGCTCCCTGTCGAGCTACGTTTCTCTTCTAGTCACACAGTCTCACAGCCAGAGATGACACACGTACATCCACTCACCTCACCTCAGACTTCCATGGGTTACCTTTGCAGCAAAGCTCTACCCAGTAAACCTGTGGAGTTTTCAGACAGGGGTTATCCCCACGGGAGAACGTGCCTACGTTGGGTTTCCAAAGATTGCACAGAGATTAGGAGCCAAGCTGGCGCTCGGATCAGACGGGCTCTCAGATCTAGAGCCAGGGTGGCTTTTCCTGCTCCAAAATAGCATACACACCAGCAGCAACAGTCGAGGGAAGACAGCACTGCAGTAATTATGGAATTGTTCAATATGTTTCTCATTTTGTATACACCAGCAGCAACAGCCGAGGGAAGAGTGATTATGGAATTGTTCAATATGTTTCTCATTTCCTCCCCTCCTTTTTTTTTCTCTTTTCTTTCCTTTTGTGTGTTTTGTTACAGGTGATACAATATTCATTATTCTTAGGAAACAGAAGCTCATCTTCTTACACTGGTACCATCACATTACTGTGTTACTGTATTCTTGGTATTCCTACAAGGACATGGTGGCTGGCGGTGGCTGGTTCATGACCATGAACTATGGGGTACACGCCGTTATGTACTCGTACTATGCCTTGCGGGCTGCTGGCTTCAGGGTCTCACGCAAGTTTGCCATGTTCATCACCTTGTCCCAGATCACTCAGATGTTGATCGGTTGCGTCATCAATTACCTGGTCTTCTCCTGGATGCACCACGGCCAGTGCCATTCCCACGTGCAGAACATCATCTGGTCCTCTCTCATGTACCTCAGCTACTTTGTGCTCTTCTGCCATTTTTTCTTTGAGGCCTATATCGGCAAAAGCAGAAAAGAAAGGAAGGATGACTAGCGGTAGGGACGAGAAGCCATAGCTCAGGGTCATCAAGAAAAACAAAATTATAAGAAAAGAAAATGGCACAAGGAAACACATATATGTATGGTGCAGCTAAAACTTGGCAGCTTAGGGAAAGTTAGCTTGGTTTAACCCAGTAAGTTTATGATCCTATCATGGTGAGGACTCACTGAATTCTACTCTATCTCAAAGGACTGCTGATGAAAGACAACTTCCTTCTTGTACCTGTCTGCTCTAGAAAAGAAAGGAGGAAAGAAAGACGAGGAAAAAGAAAATACAGAAGGGAAGAAAAGAGAGAAGAAACGAGAAAAGGAATAATGTTGAGGGAAAAAAAGTACATTAAAAAAGCAGTGCGTTTCCCCAGGGTGGAGGAGAGACTTTTATTTCCAAAAAAAAAAAAAAAGTTTCTAAATCCTTTCTAATAATTTTTCAGCATTAAAGTTGAACAAAACAAAGCAGAGAGGTGACAAAAAAAAATATCTGTCTATGATAACAGCAGGATTGAAAAATTAAAATCCTTTCCATACAAGGTTGATAACCTTTAGCCAAAATGAAACCCAAAAGGATGATTCCTGAATGGAAAGTGGCTGAACTCCACACTGCGGTCACGAGTGGAAAAGAGAAGACATTGATTTCTCTGCTGTTGTGTGCTCTGCTGGGGGAGCAGATCTGGAAGGCAGAGTCACCTCCCTCAGAAGGCAGAAAGGAGCAGTACTTTTACAAGAGTTTAATGTGAAAAGATGCACTGTTGCAATACATATCTCAGAGAGTGCATTTTCCAAGTGCTTTTTTCAGTTAAAGGCAAGGAATTTCTGCAGCAGGATAAGTCATAGAGGGTTAAATCAATCAATATTTGCTAAATTACCAGGGGCTAATAGCAGAGGGATGGTCAGGAAGGAGACAGAGATAGCTCCCCTCAAGTGATTTTTAGGAATTATCCATTAATCTCAATTTAACCCGCAGCAACGCCGAATTAAACGGGGGAAATGGGAAGGAATCCTAGTTAGCAAGAAGAGAGAGTGATGTATCTGCCCACTGTTTTCAGAACAGAGCCCTGTGGTACAGGAGGGATCCTGTGTTTCTGTGGAACACAAGGGCACCTGCCTGGGTGGGGAGAGGTGGCGGGACGGTGCGGAATTGGGTAACACTGTGCTTCTGCATCTGCCTCCGGGGCAGTGCAAAGATGTTCAAAGTGCCCTCCTCTGGTCATGTGGAGATACTACTACAAAACATACTTGGAATAGGTTTTTCTTGAGATTTGTATAGGAAAAAAATTAAATAAATAAATTAGTCTAAACAGAGTAATTTTGCTGCAACAGCATAGCTCTAAAGTCCAGAGAGAATTTTCTTTCATTAAATGTGTGTCTCTCTGCAGAATCTGTACTGTAACATCAGACTGACCACTTAAGAAGACACTCTTTCTTCTCTGAAGTCAGCTACAGATAGAAGGAGAAACGTATTTCACTCTGAACCTTAGGGAGTTAGTTGAGAACAGCCATATTCTTTCAAAGACAAGTAGATTGCATTATCTGTGATATTCCAGTCCTTACAAAGCCAAATAAAATGTGTAAAAGTTCCTAGTATTTCAAAGACGCAAGTATGTAAACTTGATGTTAAATGTGTTAATGTAGTATTCTAAATTGTATCAGTTAGGTAGTTTAACTAAACAATTAGAAGAACTAGATCAACAAAATAAGGACTGCTGTTCTGCGTAGGATATACACACACCTATAACTACACCCATATACACATTCTGTGAATTGTCAACAAGAAAAAAAAAAAAGCCCAGTGGCAGAGAATCACGTTTCCTGGCTAATGCAAAAGATTGTCATTTTCTTTCTTGCTTTAATTTGAGATTGTACAGTACAAAGGGTATTTTTTTTTTAATTATGATTTTTAGCTTTAATTGTGCTGTCATTCATGAAACAGAGCTGCTTTAGTATCCTGTTAAGAGATGACAAGGGCTTTCGGTGTCTCATTATATACAAAAGAAAAACAAATAAAGTTACATTCCATGTTATGTCAATGGTCTTACAAATGAAAAAGCCTCTTCAGGCTAAAATCATAATTATAACAAGCAGAAAATGAGTTTACATTTGTGTTATTTAAGTTATTAATGTGCTGACGTTATTTTATGGTACACAACAAATAGCAAAATGTGATATGCAGTAATGAAGCTATGATATTCATTAATAGGACTATTGTATACGTGGAAATTTTAGACAAAACCAATTAAATGTGTAAACCATTTTGTTATACAGCTTGGGAGTAGATAATTATAACGCTTGAATAAGCCTTTTTCCTCATGCTTAATTTTGCCCTGGCTAAGAAGCAGGTTAAGAAGATCAGTTAAGAGTGGAAAAGGCAAAATTAGAGTTGACTGCAATTAGATGAGAAGGGTTGGTAGAAACCCACCATCGTGCCATTCAGCCCCTCAGTCCTGTGTGTCTTAGGTCTCTCAAATAAAGCAAGAGGAGGGGGAAGAGGTCCAGTGTCTGTCCCAGTGTCCAGGAGCAGAAATCTTGGACGCTGCCAAGTCAGTGGAGGCTTTGCTCTGCTTTGAACAGAGCCAGGGTGTGCGACTACCTTTGGTCTGGGCAGAGGAGGAGGAACCGCACACGTCTCCTCCTTTGAGGCTTGCAGCTAACGACTTAAAAGCCCTATAAACTTTATCAACAAGAAGTGACACCACACCACAGCCTGAGTTCAAGGCAGGCAGAAAACAGGGGGGACTGCAAACAACCTACCGTGTTTTTCACACTGTTTTCCTTAATTGCTTAAGACCCCCCTGGTCTGTGCGTGCTGGATGGCAATGCAGGCAATGCCCACACTGACTTTGGTGCAGCAAGAATTTCACCTCCACGCTCTTACCCCCCCCTCCCAAACCTCTGCACCGTTCCCAGTGCCCATGAGGTGAGGGGCCACCTTCCTTACTGCCTGGGAAGTGGCTCCAGCGGAGAAACCTCCTCACTGAATTCTGTGGGCATCCCAGCGGGCGACGGGGCTGCAGGCAGGCATTCCTGTAGGGAAGGGGCAGCAAGATCAGGCACATAAGGGACAGTAACAAATTTAGGGTACATTCATCATCACGCTGGAAATCGGCGGCCACACTGCCGTTTGCTTCAGGAGATGACACATCACACATGCATTTACACAGGTCCTACGACCCTACCATACCGTTGAGCTTTTCCTCTGAGGTCTGACACTGTTGGTTTTTTTTCTTACATCTTATTTTCTTCCTAAAACACGCACACATGATATTTAGACATCACGTCTAACCCGCTCACACGTACTTAAACACTGAGCCAGTCAACCCTAACGTAATGACACCTCGACAATACTCCAGCTGTTTCAGCCTACAAGCCACAAGATAGAAACACAGCTAATTGGGTCCTATTTATTTCCCTTGTTTTGAGCCTTGGGGTCACTCTTTCAAATTTTTCTGCCCACTAGCAGAACCCTTTTTTTCCTAATATTTTAAATAAAGCTACAATTCTGTTGCATTCACACACATCGCGGGGAACTCAAACTTTATAAAAATTCCCAAGCGTTATGGGACCTGTGACAACCACCACAGATGCTTGAAATCCTGTTACGGGATTCACTGTTAGAGTCAGGAAAGTTACACTGGGGATAAGGTCAGTCTGCAAGGGTCAAAGTCTGTGGTTTATGTTTTGTTGCATTAATTCAATGTACTGAAATAAAACCAGAAAGGTGGTTGGTGTGGATTACGCTCAGGCAGCTGCGAGCAGAATTTGGATCTTCCTGAACACTTTAAGAAAAAAAAATATTTTCAAGTAGTTAGTGGAAGAAGTAGTAAAACTTGGGTAATTTTGGAGCCTCTTTAAATTGTGCCTGTGACGAGAAGGAAACCCCTCCTGCTTAGAGACCTTCTGTAACTCAGAGTCACAAATGATTTATGTCTGGGCTCACTGATAACACCCAACTAAGAGCGGCTGGCTCCAACACAGACCTCTCACCAGAATCTCACAGGAAACCAATACAGGCTTTTACTTGCAAGATAAAGGCCAAAGCACGCAAAAGGAATCACTCAAAAGAGCTAAGCTGGGTAGAAGGAATAAAGTGTTGAGCACAAGTTGCGGGAGAGAGACAAGGAGGGAGAAGATCTATCCCAGCTCGAGGAGGAAAATATTTCCAGGCTGAATACTCACTCCTTCCAAAGATGAGGCGAGGCAGAGCGGGAGGAGGCTGGGCTGTGTAGTGCCAGGTGCCCAGGATGGGGTGGCTGGTGGAACTGGGCTTCATGCACAAGTTTATTGTCCCCGAGTGCAAGCCCGAGTCTGTGGGTTTGTTTGGAGGACCATCCGTGGTCTAACTTCAAGGCCTGGGCAGATTTCATTTTTCTTTCCTGGAAGTAAAAACCTGGGACAACATTTTAGTTGCGAGCAATGGTACCTCAGGGATCAATATTCAGGTGGTTTTCAGTTAACAAAGAGCATAAAACACCAATTATCGTGACTGTGAAACGGCAGCCTTTGCGAGCAGTGCCAGATGTAACACATTAGTGCAGTAATATCTCTAGTAGTTGTAGTCTGTCCTGTACTTCAGAACCAGTTACACAAGTAGAACACGTCTATATACGAGTCATAAATAACAGACGTACTTAAAGTAATAAAAACTGCTTTGATCAAGGAAGAACTCAAAGCGAATTGCAGACCATGCTGCCTAAGCTCAGGACTCGGTCCAAGCGCCTGCTGAAAGTGAGATTGTTGGTGAGATGTCCCGTGGCTTCACCGAGCTTTGCTCCAGCCCAGTTGCAAGACCTAAATCCCCTCCTTGTTCACTTAGAGGTGACACGAACCACGCGGGGCATCGCTCGGGCCCTGACACGGCTCTTCGGTCACATTTTCCAGCTTGGTGTCGATGAGCCCTCTAAAAGGGGAGAATTGTTAGTGGGTTTCTACTGTTTTATTTCAATACGTTTTTCCATCCATTCCGGTTCTCTTATCAAAAGCAAACTGAAGGACAAGTCCCTGATCCTGCTGTCCCAAACGCCCCGTTGCAGGCTCTGCAGCCCCACACGGGCACAGAAACCTTCTGCTTACCGGGGTGAAGGCAGGATCAGCGCCTTGTGACAGACTTGATTTCCAGCAAAGCCAACACCACAGGGTAGGATTTGATTTCTTAAATTAAACCAACTGTACCAACACACAAATAAGATAGGATCTGCACAAGAACTCGACGGCTAAGGGGCAACCAGGGCCCTCCCCAGCACATTGTAAATGCTCAATCAAATGCTGCATGAAGTGGGGTTAGAGTGTATTTCCCAATGGGTATAAAATAATACTCCCCAGAAACAGTGACCTTCCTGAGAAGTCTCACTTCTGTCCAGTCCTGGACAGCTTCAAACAGGCCTGTCTGCTGAAAAAACACAGCTCTGATTGACTTATCTGCTTTCTCAAAAGAGCCACTACACGCTTTAGGCTTTTTGGAGCCTTAAAGCTCAAGCTAGATTTATATTCAGAAAGAAAAAAAAAAAAACAACCTTAAATATGTGTACAGTAACTAGGAGAGAATAGTATGAGAAATATCTTTATTTTACCATTTTCAAATGGCTATTTCACTACATAAAAGGAAGTTTTTATTTTTATTTTTTTGGGGTATATTGATATTCCAAATAAAATTTTAACTTTTGGTTCAAAATAAAGTCCGTCTCTGTGTTTTATTGATCTCTGACATCCATTTCCTTCTGTGTACTGCCACCGAGTCCAGCTACAAGACTCCAGTGTGGTTGCTCTGTCTTTCACTTCCCAGCAGGACTCTAGTGTATTTTTGTGCACCACATAGAAGAAACACCACATACGGTGTTTTCTTTTGTGTGTATGTGGGCACATGCATCTGTGTGATAAGACTGCATATCACACAGCTAATCGGTGCTTGAATGTCCTGTTTCTACACGCCTGTGATTTGGAAATCCTAATCTCTGCATCTCTGGTAAGAAACAAAATCCCTGTCCATCGTGATGCCTTCTCAGCGGGGGGACTGTGCGAGCGCAGCAGCGCTCACCAGCCTGTCTCACAGCTCCCGAGGGCACTGCCTGCTCCATACCACTTCTGCCCCAGCCTTTTTCTGAACCATCATCTGTCCTTCTTTCCCCAAAACATCACTTTCACCCATCCCTCTGGCTGCAGACAAGCACCCGTGCTAAGTGATGGGCAGAGCCAGCCCCAGCTCTGCGCAGCAAGAGCATTTCACAGCTTGCTCTGCTCTTAATATTTTAAACCAAAGCAGTCCATAAAGGAAAATCAAAGCTTTGTTGTCCCAAAATCGATAAGGTGACTTGCATCTGTCACAGGACTAACCAAAGACTGAGGCAGCGTAAATGTTTGGGGTGCAGCACGTCCCTGCTGAAAGCCCACCACTCTTCCCCTGGAAAGATTTCCAGCCCCACAACAGATTTCTGAGCTGGAGGCGGAGGGAGGAGGGTAAAGCAGAGCAGGAAGGCCACGATGGGCACGTGTGGGGCTGAGAGACACCCTGGTGACCTTCCTGAGCACTGGTTTGAGAACCAGCCCAAGGAACAGCCTGGAAGTGGAGGAGCAAGAAGAGGGAATCGGATATATGGACCAGGACGTGCTGCCTAACAACTTCAATATTATCACAGGGGAAGTGGAAGAGCAAATGTGGCAAAGCAGATTGAGATTTCCAGGGCAGGTGCAGCTCTGCTGTTGGGAAGAACTCTAAGAGCAACTGGGAGGGGAAGAAAAGAGGGTGCAGGCAGTATAGGATTGTTTCAGGCTTATGGCAGAAATTGCATTTCCTTGGCTCCACTACCCACCTTGTTACACTTCTGACAACCTGTGACCCGGGCTGGATTCCAGCTGCATTTGGGGTGGGAGTGGAGATGAAGCATGTAAATCCTCCTTTTGTTAAGATTCTGTGGAAAGCAAAGGGTTACAGCTTTTGAGGATGCACCACACACTCTGCCAGTCCCTTTGGCGAGGCTATGGGTAGGGAGGGTCACCCTTTATACCCCAGCAGAAATGAGGTCCCTTTTCTAGCTTTCTAATTTCCTCTGTCAAGCTGCCATGACCTGCAACGACCTTCTGCTGGAAGTCTCCAGCAGAATTGGACACCCTGACATCCCACTAAACGTGGGCTGACTTGCAACGAGCTTCTGCTGGAAGTCTCCAGCAGAATCACCCTGACATCCCACTAAACGTGGGCTGACCCTTACTCAGAAAGATGGTGTTGGGAACAAAAGAAATTGTGTCATGCTCATCCTCTGGCACTGCATGGCCAGGCAGGTATCTGTCACCATGTGGCTCTAGCAGTGCTCTGCTTGTTGCCATCCTGACACAGAATCACAGACTCACATGGGGTTGGAAGGGACCTCCAGAGATCATCTAGTCCAACCCCCCTGCTAGAGCAGGTCCATCCAGAGCAGGTTGCACAGGAACGTGTCCAGGTGGGTTTGAATGTCTCCAGAGAAGGAGACTCCACCACCTCACTGGGCAGCCTCTGCCAGGGCTCTGCCACCCTCAAAGGAAAGAAGTTCCTCCTCATGTTTAGGTGGAACTTCTTCTATTCAAGTTTGTGCCCACTTTCTCTTGTCCTGTCCCCAGGCACCACTGAAAAAAGACCGGCCCCATCCTCCCGACACCCTCCCTTTAAGTATTTCTAAGCATTGATCAGATCCCCCCTCAATCTTCTCTTCTCTAGTCTAAAATGACCCAAGTCCCTCAGTAAGAGAGATGCTCCAGGCCCCTCATCATTTTTGTAGCCCTCTGCTGTACCTTCTCTGGCAAGATGCAATGTTTTCTGGCCTGGAGCAGATGCCAGGCACAAATGCCCAAAGCCAACCCCGTGCAGGAGCCCAGCCACAGCGGACGGGAGCCACAGGGCCAGAGATGCTGGTCCCTTGCCTGCCAGTGTCCAGGAACAAGGGACAGCCTTACCTTCAGCTACGCTCCGTCCCTCCTGCCCAGCCATCACCTCAAAGACAAAGCTGAAGCCTTTCAAGAAGCTGACGGTAAGTCCATGGAAGCAAACACAGATTTCACAGTGTTGCTGGGCTTGGCCAAAAAGTTTCTTGAGGCTTTGCCACATTGCTTAATGGGAAAATGCTGAATAAACATTCTTTGGCCGTTCTCCAAGCAAACTGGTGTCCTCTGTGCTCCCTCAGAGTGATGTGCCTACAAAATCCCTTCTGGAAAAACACACAAAAATGCCCTCAGCTGCACCTGCTCTGCCACCTTCCAGCCCTTCAGAGGCATGAGGGCTTGGCAGGGATTAAACCCTTGCTGCTGCTCCATGACTAGCCCACCCCTGAAAGCTTAAAAGGAGTTTTGCACCTCCAATTGGAATGAAATTGCAGAGCATGGTGTCATCTGTTCAGATCATGCTGATTTAGGGATGTTAATGCAATTCACCATTAATAGAAATACTGCATTTCCATGCAAAATGATTAATAAAGTACCAACACTTAACAGTGTCAGCTGTAGTGTCAAATGATGCAGAAATTGTTTTACCTGCTAAAAATGAGCCATGTGGCTTCTTGTGTATTTTATATCTAACTCACCTAACCATAGAAATGGCAGTAGAGGAAGTTATAATAATGGAAACAGTAATGGAAAATATCGATTTTGGAATGTCTTAAATTGAATAATTTGTTTTTGCTTAAAGAACCTTAAAGGTCACACATAAAGGGTTTTTTGGATCCATATTTTTTCCTTCTGAATTTCACTAGAAATGCCAGGGATCCCAGGTTTGGTCAGTAAAATGCTGGCACTTACACCCAAACGGCAGCACTGGAACGGCTGAGGGCATTTAAATCCTTTTTCCCAGGTCTCCATTAAACAGATGGCTAAATACAGTTAACAAAGACTCTGCTGTTCACCTCTTCTGCTTTCTCACTGAAGCTTTTCTTTCAACATGGCTTTATCTGTATAAGATAAACTGAGCACACGTAGGCTGATGGCCATCCCGGGTGTCTGTCTGTAAGATAGGCAAGGTCACAGCTCTTTGGGGGAGTGCTGTTTGCTTGGGAACACTTCTTCTGTTGTGTAACAGAGGCTGGGCCCAGGGACATAACAGCAGTTCATGCCTGTTATCACTTTAGAGGGGTATGGATTTCATGAATGCAACCCTGTGCCGTTTCAGAGTTTAATTTGTGATTACTGATGCCTGTGGACTTTTAGGCTTGAAGGACGTTACATCGCTTCAAGCATAGCTCATATCACCATTGCTATCCATGAGCCAGCAATGTGCCCTTGTCACCAAGAGGGACAATCGAATCCTGGGCTGCACAGGGAAGAGTGTGCCAGTAGGTGGAGGGAGGTTATCCTCCCCCTCTGCTCTGCACTGGTGAGGCCACAGCTGGAATCCTGCGTCCAGTTCTGGGCTCCCCAGTTCAAGAGAGACAGGGAACTGCTGGACAGAGTCCAGCGTAGGGCAACAGAGATGATGGAGGGATTGGAGCACCTCCCTGATGAGGAAAGGCTGAGAGAGCTGGGACTCTTCAGCCTGGAGAAGAGAAGGCTGAGGGGAGACCTTATTAATGCTGACAAGGATCTAAAGGGTGGGTTGAGGGAGGATGGAGCCGGACTCTTTTCAGTGGTTCCCAGTGACAGGACGAGGGGCAACGGGCACAAACTGGAACATGGGAAGTTCCACTGAAATATGAGGAAGAACTTCTTTGGGGTGAGGGTGGCAGAGCCCTGGAAGAGGCTGCCCAGGGAGGGTGTGGAGTCCCCTTCTCTGGAGATCTTCAAGCCCCACCTGGATGCTCCCAAGTGATGTGCTCTGGGCAACCCTGCTTTGGCAGGGGAGTTGGACTGGATGGTCTCTAGAATGTCCCTTCCAACTCCAACAATTCTGTGATTCCGGTAGAACTTTCCCAAGCCTCAAGTAAACACCACTTCATTTGCCCCACATCTGGCAACCAGCAAGCTGCTAGCAAGGGCAAAAGCAGGAGATGTGCTGGGCCTAGCATCCCACCGTTGTGAGAAACACCCATCCCAGGGAGTCCCTGGCTCTGTGGGTGGGCAGCGACTTCCCCACAGAGGGGGAGGCAGGTCCTCCCAGGGAACCTGGAGAAGACATAGCCAGCTTTGGCCAGGGGGCTAACCTCAAGGTATGGTCTGGGGGCTGCTCGTGGTGGGACTTCTGCCCCTTGGCTTGCCCCATGCAGCTGGTGCTTTGGGTTGGCAAAAGAGGACCTCGACCCACCCATGCAGAGTGACTGAAGCTATAAGACACAATTAAAGAGTGTGGCTGCTAATAGTGGTACTAGGTTGAAGATAGTCTAGATGATCGTATTCTTCACATGACTTATTTAAAACAGAAAAGGAGGGTACATACAGGCAACTTGGCTTCTCAGAATCATCTGTTGGGAAAAGGACTCCAGCTTAAGGTCTTGGCTCCAGCTGAGTTACTCGGTTAACTTCCACCATACTTTCCATCACAGCAGCACTGCAGCCAGCCTTGTCATTATAAAGCCATCCAGTGTGGTACATCTTGTAGGGCAGGAGAAAAATTTGTGTGAGTTAAACACGGTTAAGTATGACTA